TTTCGAAACTTCAATGTAAGTTTCGAAATTATAAGATACTGATCCCAGTTCTTTTTTTTTGGGGCCCTATACGGAATGATTGATCTATACGATCCGTCGTTTCAGACCGATCGAAACGATGGATCGACAGTGTATGTCAAGATCGTTAACGATTTACTTAATTGAAGACGATATTGCAAATCTCAACCAAATCCCATGCAATCATGAATATCGTAAACGATCGATCGACAATGTTTCGTGTATGTAGTGGCATTTCTGAACGATCGATCGTTGACGATTTCCTTCAGATCGATCGCAACGACGAATCGTTCCGTATATGGGACCCTTTAAGTGGCCGGTGCGGGCCACAAGAATCGAGCAACGAGGATTTGTAGCGTGTGGCGGCCACCGGCGTACAGTGTGTGGCGAGTCCATATAAAATGTATGAAAACTACAAGAAATATGCCGGTAGCGGCGTTTTGTGGTTGTGGTCGGTAGCCCGTGTACGGCGACACTAAGTGTGTCATGATTATAGATGTAAGGCCGGTTTAAAACCAATCCGTTTAAAACGAAAAAAACCGTTTAAAACCGTAATAAACCATTTTTTTTCGATTTAAAACGGTTGGTGTTAATGATGTCAATACCAAAAAAAAAATGAAAAGAATGTTGAAGGCGATCTCTCGTCTATATCGGCGACGGAGGACGTCTCTCAACCGCAGCAGCAGTCACAGCCGACAAGTGCATCGCAGCGGCAGCAGGCAGTAGCTGTGGTCGGGTCACCAACACCGATTCTTTCCCCAGAATCTCGTTCTAAACCCAAACGAGCAGCCAGGGCGAAAAAGTAACTTTATCTCTCTTTATATTCTGCACTAGTATGAGAAAAGTTCATATAATAATTTGTAGTTTTATATAATTTTGCATTTATTTACGGGTATTATATTCGTTAACTTTATATTTCGGGTATTTCACTATTAATACTATTGTTAATTAACTTAAATTACCTTCTTCAATTCACTTGTTTAGTTTTTCGACAGACATGAAAACGTCACTGTCACTATGACTGATTTCTACGAACTTTTTTTTTTTTTTTTTATCGCCCTGGCGTGTTTATGTTTTGCTCACTCTGTTGTCCTTATCAATGTATAACTTTTTTTTAATGTTTTGTATTTTTTTTTGTAAATGTCAACCAACCGGCAGGACAGGTATTATTTTGCATATTAACTTTTTTTTTATTATATATAGATTTTTATATAGTTATATATTAATTAGATAATATTTTATTTATTTTTATGTCTGATGATGATGATTCTTTCTATTCTGCTCGTGACGTTAGCTCTTCTTCTTCCATTTCTTTTTCGGAACCAGAAACGTTGGGCTCCGTATTGCACAGCTCTTTTAAAATTGCACCTCATTCTTTTAACGTTTGTCATATAAATGCGCAAAGCATACCTTCTCATTACTCAGATCTTCTTGATACCTTTTCTTCTGCTACCACTCACGCTATTCTTGTCTCGGAAAGCTGGTTAAAACCTTGTCTTGCCTCTTCATCTTTCTCACTTCCTGGTCACAATTTAATCCGCAATGATCGTACTGGCAAGGGCGGTGGTGGTGTTGCCATATACTTACGTTACGACATCCCCTATAAAATTCTTTATTCATCTCCCTCCCCATACTCCAGTTCTGCGGAATACATCTTCCTTGAAGTTTCCATTAAGGGAGTTAAAGTTGTTTTAGGAGTCGTCTATTCTCCACCCGGTATTGATTATTTTTCCCATCTCGAGTCTGTTCTTGAACCACTCTGCTCGGAATACGGACATCACATAATTATGGGTGATTTCAACACTGATCTATTGTGTAGCATATCGCGCTCCCTTAAACTTCTTAATATTGTCAAGTCCGTTAATCTCTCTATTCTGCCATTAAGGCCAACTCATCATAACCTTTCTCAGGATACCTGGCTTGACTTAATTTTAACTTCTCCTGAATTTGTTATTAATCACGGTCAGCTTACAGCACCTGGATTTTCAAAACATGACCTTATCTTTCTACAGTACAGATTAAAACCACCGAAAATGAAACCTACTGTTGTGTGGATGCGTAACTTCGCTCGCCTCGACCATGGCAGATTAGGACGGGATGCTTCTAAGCTTGACTTCTCGGCGGTGTATGGTGCCTCGTCAATGGATGAGAAAGTATCCAACTTCAATCATTATATTCTCAAACTTTACGATGCCCATGCTCCGCTGAAGCCTGTCAGGGTAAAGCGATCTCCCTCTCCTTGGATCAGCCGAGGCGTTCGTATGGCCATGGCGCGACGAGATCGTGCTTTTCGTGTTTTCAAGCGTGATAGATCGGACGGAAATTGGTCTTTATATAAGGTGGCTCGTAATAGGTGCAATAGAATGGTGAGGGCAGCTAAACGACAATATTTTCATGACAATATCTGCAACACATCTTCGGCGAACGTATGGAAGTTTCTCCATTCTTTAGGCCTGGGCAAATGTTCCGAGCAACCTGACTCCTATCCTTTCTCTCTTAACGATTTCAATAATCACTTTTCCACAACCTGTACACTTGACCCACTTATTAAAAATAATACAGTCAAAAACATTTCTTCCATAGCCCAATCTCTTTCTGATTCCTTTACTTTTTCTCCAGTGACAAGTGATGATATCCGTAAAATTATTATTTCTATCAAATCAAAAGCTATTGGATCGGATGACGTCAGCAGAGAAATGATAGTCAATATTTTAGACTATATTCTTCCAACTATTGAACACATTATCAACTTCTCCCTTCTAAATAGTGATTTTCCTCTAGCTTGGCGTAAAGCTTTTGTTCTTCCTCTGCCGAAAGTTTCCTCTCCTCAGCTACTTAGTAACTTCAGGCCTATTTCCATCCTTCCCTTTCTTTCTAAAGTTCTTGAAGCAGTTGCTCATCATCAGATATCCTCTTTCATATTTTCCAATAATCTTCTCACTCCTTTTCAGTCTGGATTTCGCCCTGGACACAGTACCACTACTGCATTGCTCAAAGTTACTGAGGACGTCAGGATAGGCATGGAGAAACAGTTGGTTACAGTCATGGTACTCATAGACTTCTCTAACGCTTTTAATATGGTTGATCACGATATTCTCCTCGCTATCCTGAAATCCTACAACTTCTCACCAAAGTCACTGGATTGGTTCTCATCCTACCTCTGGGGCCGTCAACAAGCAGTCCGCATTGGACAAAACCTTTCAAAGTGGAATACTTTGAATGCCGGTGTACCCCAGGGTGGTATTATCTCTCCTTTGTTGTTTTCTGCCTTCATTAACTTCCTTTCCTACTCGCTTGGCTGCTCTTACCATTTCTACGCTGATGACCTACAAATCTATACCCAGACTTTAGCTGAGGATGTTGATATGGCCATCTCCATGTTGAATAATGAATTGCAACGTATCAGTGCTTGGTCTGACTTTGGAATAAAAGTCAATCCAACTAAATGTCAGGCCATTATCGTAGGTGGCTCTAAACAAATAGTCAAAATTGACCAAAGTTCTCTCCGACCTGTCGTGTATGAAGGCACAATACTGCCGCTTAGTTTAAGTGTAAAAAATCTTGGCCTTTATATTGATTCCTCTCTCAGCTGGACCACACAAATTGCCGAAGTGAGCCGCAAGATTGTTTACTCACTTCGTTTCTTGAATCGGTTCAGGAATTTTCTCCCCATCAAAACTAAAATTTTGCTTGTAACATCTCTTATATTTCCGCTCATTGATTATGCTGATGTCTGTTATCCCGATCTGAATGCTGATCTTTTAAATAAATTGGATCGTCTTATAAATAATGCCATTCGCTTCATCTTCTATCTTCGTAAATTTGACCACATATCTGCTTACAGGTCTCAACTAAAATGGCTCCCTATACGTCAAAGAAGACAGCAGAGAATATTATGTACTCTGTATTCAATTCTCTTTGACCCACACTCTCCAGAATATTTAAGATCCAAATTTCAGTATCTTTGTGATACACATAACCTTCAACTTCGTTCTACTGATACTCTTGCTCTATCCCAACCTCTCTTTCACTCTGGCTATATGTCTGATTCCTTTGCCCTTCAATCTTCACGACTCTGGAACAGCCTCCCTGACTCCATTAGAAAGTCACCTAATAGGTTCATTTTTAAAAAGAAAATTCATGCCCTTCTTCTGGATAGCCTTCCACGCTAACGTTAAACTCATTTCCTAAGTCCCTTTCAGTCTCATCATCGATATATTTTATATATATGTACGTATGTATATGTGTATTGTATGTGTATATATATGTGTGTGTGTATATTTATATGTCTTGTGCTTATGTATATTTAATTATTATGTATAAGACAAGTATTTTCTATTATGGTATGTTTATATTATCAATTATTTTTTACTAAAGCCGCATTCGTGACTTTCTGTACTCCTGAAGGTTGACTGGCAGAGAATGCTTTTAGCGTTAAGTCCGCCTTTTGTCCATTTTGTAATTGTGGCAATAAAGTTTAAATAAATAAATAAATGTTGGTATTGTGTTAATGTCTTTTATTTTAATCTAGTGTGTCCTATACATGTATAATAAAATAAGTGCTTAAGTATGAAGGTACCTACATACCTACTTAATTTTTTATAGGTAATGTACGTAGGTACTTTCTATTGATTTTCTATATACGAACCATGACGTCAGGTGACCAAAAATTTACCATAATGAAGTGTAAAAACATAGTTCTTTTATTTTTGTATGCCAGTTTTCAACCGTTTAAAATGATTTATTTGGGGTTTAATACGGCAACATTTTGTTTAAAACGTTTTAAATCGGTTGTTTTACATCTATAGTCATGATGTGTGCCCGCCGCGCCGCCGCGGCCGCTCGACCCTTGGTATAATGGTCCCTCTTCCCGTGCGTAACACGTGCGACACAGGCGACAGATTGTAGTATTTGTAGGAATAAATTATAAACATTATGATAAAGGTATGTTAAGAATGAAATAAATATATTTTTAAACAGATTTATTTCTTAACAAACACAACAGATGAAACTACACTGCCAACTTTTCCGCCAAATTTAAATTGAGGTGTGGGTATCACACATTTGAGTTTCAGCTTTTCAGAGAACTGCTTTATTAACTCTTCATCTGTCCAATTACATGATGTTATAACAAATAACCCTGAAAAAAATACAACAAATATGATATAATCATAGTAAAATCTAGTCTCAGATAGCGTTGTTGCTGTTCCAACCCTCCCTGCCTCATGGCACTGCACTCCCAGACAGAACCCTATTGGTCGACGATACTAGTTGATGACAATTGATGTGCCCGTTATTGGCCTGTAACATAATTTTGTAACAGTCATTGACGGCCAACTCAAAGCGAAAAGGTAGTGGAGGAATCATGCAATCATTCACTGATTTGCTTGTTATAATGAATACATACTTTTTAAAATGCATAAAATCAATACAATGATTTCAGATCAAAGAAATATAATATAAATCTATTGGGCCTATGATGATGGCTAATTAACGAGCTCGACTGTGCAAGTGGTTAGCCCATTCGGCTATTGCAGCGCAATGTTTTCAAGAATACACACCCACTGCACCGACCTCTCTTCCTTTTCCATAGAGATGCGCACTGCATGCAACAATCCTTCTTCATACAAGCAAAACCAGAACCCGCTGTAGAATTGATGTCCTCAATATTTAATAGTACAAATAATCTATATAATCAAATAACCACTTGTGTTTAGGTTAAGTAACTTTTGCTGTGGTCAGTCATTGGATGGATGACTGAAAACTATTTCGAGTTACTCTGTGCTTTGGAAGGCAAGTTAAGCGATAGGTCCCAGCTGGATCAGCAGTCATTAGCACACACCAACTGCACTGGGCCCACATGGTGGTTTATGGCCCAATCTCCCTATTCCATCCATAGGGAAGGCCTGTGCTTCAGCAGTGGGGACATTGACAGGCTGATGGTGATGATGTTGCCAAATTATAATACAATAAATACACAAAAATCATACCATTACTATCCAACATATTATAGACTTGGTCAATATATTTTAACCTATTTTCTTTTGGTCTATCTGGGTTCAGGCCAATAGCATCGTATGTTCCTTTATCATGTAATAGGCCAAATCTACAACCAAGGTCACTCACACTATCATTTATAATATCGAAAACCTGTAATTATAATGTACATTACAAAAAAAATAGGTAGATATTGAAATTAAAGTACAAATTATAGAACAGATTAGAATGCGAAAAAATCATTGCAGTTGCCTTGCAATGAAAATATCTTTATGTAATGTGTTTTACTGCAATGACTTTTTTCATATAGCTACCCACCACTTTTTACATGGAGCTGCAACTCGCAGACATTGTAGTAGACACATCCAACAGCAGAAATATGTTTCAAATGCAAGAGCATAAGTTTTTTCGCATACTTCACCTTGATACTTGAAAATAAAGTTAGCTAATTTACTTTTAAATAAATGAGAAAAAGCAAACCAGCTGCTTGATGTGTCTGTTACAATTTCAGCTACATACCTTTAACTAACTTTAGAACATAGATTAATAAACAATTAGTTTATGTACCTTATACTTAATGAAAGGGAAATCTTTTTTAGAGACCTTTTCAGCCAAAGTTATAGCTTCTTCGCAGTAATCCACTCCTATTAAGTCTGTGTAACCTTCTTTAGCGAGTTCAGTAAGTGTGTAGCCATTACCGCAGCCTAAAATCAATGAATGTAGATGATAAAGTTAGTTTGGTTATTATTAATTAATTTGTCTATGACTATTACAATCAATTTTATCAGGGTTCAGTACTTTGAAAGGAAAAACCCTTATAGGATCACTTTGTTGTCTGTCCATCCGTCTGTCAAGGCCCTTATTCTCAGGGTTGCATGGAGATATTACACTGAAATTTATATTAAATACTCAAGTTTACTGTCTGATGAAAGATTGAGAAGCCAGTACCTATGTAGGTTGTAGTCTTGGATTTGGATTAACACTTATTAATGTATTAAGTAAATTGCCTAGTAAGGTCACTGTGAACATTTAGGTAGGTATGTAAGCTTGGCATGGATACGTTTCAAAGAACGCTATTCATATTCATGCCATAATAATAAAAATACATCGGAAAAACTTTAGCTAACCTAAGTCTAGGACAGAGGTATTTTTATCAATCCCGCAGTCACATATCCAGTTTATAACTCTGCAAGCACTATCTTCACCGAACCACACGTCTCCAGTGTCACCATGGTCTTCAAAGTTGGCTATTTCTTTTGAGTATGCCTGTTGCCAATATGCATGTGTACCGAGTTCTGAAGAATTTAGTTCTGTATCTTCCATTTATTCTACTAGTCTATTACAAGGCTTAACTAAAAAGAAAGCTGATGAAGGATGCAATACGATTCCAATAGTAAATTGTACAAAAAACCTGCGTAAAACCTTTGAATATACGTAAAAACCAAATAGCCTCAGCAAGTAAGCTGCTGTCAGTCAACTGAGTTGACAGCTTTTTTTTATTGAAGTTCTCCCGTTTTAAGGAAGGCAAAGGGAACAATGCCCATACAGCCTGGTCTTTAATTAAATTAATTTTCTTATTGTTATTACATTAGAATGTCGGTGTGACGCATTCTTATGTTTCTTGGAGTGTTTGGCACGAAATGTATCGAGTTGGCTTTTTCGATAAGCTTCTGTGAGGTAGTCAACACTACAATAAAATTCTCACGTTCATTTGATCGGAATAGCGGATATTGATGTCGATTCTGGCATAATTCTCTAAAGCTAAACTTAAATTTGACAACAGTGCATCCTTGTCCTTCTCTATACAAAATGAAAAGGTGAGACTGATATTAAATTTAGTTTTAAGTTTAGAGAATCACGCCAGAATTGACACCATTTTAACGATTCCACTAATTGTTCAGTTACGCAGACTGTTGTTTCACAAAACCACACCAATTTTATTTCACAATATCCACTATGAACGAATTTAGGAATAATTAAATTAAGACGCCAACCGCACTCGATGAAATCCCGCCAAAAACCGGCCGTTTTTTTTTATTTCTTTCTTTCACCATTTCGGCCACTTGACAACTGTCACAATTAGGGCAACAAAGTTCGAAACTCGATAAGATTTAGTGATAGTTTTCAGAGCGGTAAAACTAGGGTAAGGGCATATCTAACAATTTAAATCTTTGAGTAGTGGAACCTATACTTATGTTGGTCCCCTACAATCACTGGCCCTCTTGCATTTATACTAAAATATAAAGAAATCTATATATATAAAATTCAAAGGTGACTGACCTACATAGTGATCTATCAACGCACAGCCCAAACCACTGGACGGATCGGGCTGAAATTTGACATGCAGGTAGATGTTATGACGTAGGCATCCGCTAAGAAAGGATTTTGATCAATTCTACCCCCAAGGGGATGAAATAGGGAATGAAAGTTTGTATGAAACTTTGTCAATTTTGAACCGATTAGGCTGAGACTTTGCATGCAGGTATAAGAAGAATCATAGATGAATGTCATTGTGTATAATACAAGCCTGAGAACAAAAACTGTAGTCTACACTTCAGCGAACTACACCGAAGCGAAGCGAGGGCGGGCCGCTAATAAAACACTGAACATGATGTCTTGTATTGTATTATTCTTTGCTGGCAATTCTTCAAACTTTGGAAGGTAAGTTAAACTCAATAAATGGCAGTGTTTTAAAAATCAAAGATTGTTGCCCGTTGTTGCCGGTTCGCGTAAGCTACTACAAGGCTACCATTCTATTGAAGTCTATAAGAGATATCTGTTTTAAACACATTATTTTCTAACTCAATGTTTTAATTCTTCGAAAAAATTACTAAAATGTAACCACTGCATAGATGAATATTGTATTTTAGCAGAGTTTTTCCTAAAATTCAGCAAAACGCCAAATTTTGGTGTGCCATTCTTTAGTATAATCTCTAGTATGAGAATGCAATCATTGGCACGTATGTTTAATCACTAAAAGTATTGAAATTTTCGGCTTTTTGTTTTTTTTATGCTTATTATAAATCACATATTTTATCCGTATTATCATCTATGGATATCAAAATATAGGCCAGTAACGATGTCTTTATATGGCTCCTGCAGCCCCGGGCCATGACCTTCTTGGCCCTCACGCAATCATCATCAGCCTATTAATTGTCCCCACTTCTGGGGCACAGGCCTTCCCTATGGATGGAATAGGGAGATAGGGCCATGACCCACCACGCGGGCCCAATGCGGATTGGCGGGTGCTAACGACTGCAGATGCAGCCGGGACCAATGGCTTAACGTGCCTTCCGAAGCACGGAAGAACTCGAGATAGAAGATTTTTGGTCACCCATCCAATGACCGACCACTGCGAAAGTTGCTTAATTTCAACGATCGCAGCCGAACACGCTAACCACTTGCGCCATCCAGGTCCTGCCTCACACAATGACACGCCTAAATCCAAATCTGAGACAAATAAAATCAAAATTCATTTATTGAGTTTAGGCTTGCTTTTACATGATCAAGTCGAAATCGGTTCGCAAATCTACGGTGGGAAACCTTGCGTATTAAGAAGAACTGGCAAGAAACTCAGCAAGAGCTCCTTTTTCTCCCTATTTTATTTCATACAGTGTCGTCAATAAAAAAATTATATCGAAGTTTTAAACAGGTATTGAGGTCAACTTCCAGCACATAATGTAATATAACATTAAGTGTAAGACCAAAGACTTATTAACAAGACAGAGAAAGTCATAGAGTAACTAGCTAGACTATTTTGAAGTGGATCAGATTGTTTTTTTCAACACATACACCAAATTAGCCTAGCCCCAAAGTAAGCACTATAAGGCTTGTGTTAGGATACTAGGGTAACGGATAGAATACATATACTGTACATATTTATGTATTCTTATATAGAAATACGTATTAAACATCCATGACTGGAGTACAAATGCTCGTGTTCATCACACAAACATCTGCCCCCACCGGGATTCGAACCCGGGACCTCTCGAGTCGGCGACACCATGAAACCCGGTGTACAAACCACTCGGCCACGGAGGTCGTCCTTCTATATAATAATATATAATTCTTGTATAATGTTCAAGATGTTAGTCGAATGAAAAGGACGTTTATTTCATTGCCATATGTTTTAGAACTGCTAGCCCCAAAATTCCCCGTAATTTATTTTCCCCAACAATTTCCACTTTGTAAACTCGTAATCTGGCTTTCGAACCTCATACATGATTTGCCGCCAAAATACCAGTCTATTCTTGGACAAAGAATCTCGCTTCTAGAAAGTTATGTAAGGTTTATAACTTTCTTGGTACATACCTCTTGATAAAATATTTCTTGCGTCACACATTCGTTTTAAAAATGGAAAACTAAGAGCGTTTTCCATTTAGAAAAAAAAGTCGACACTGTGTTGCACTGTGTCGACGATACTATAGCAAAAACCTAATGCCAACTAAAGCTTGGTAACTTCAATACTTTTCATTGGTAACAGTGTTACCAATTGAAGTTTGGTAACAGTGTTACCAATGAAAAGTATTGAAGTTACCAAGCTTTAGTTGGCATTAGGTTTTTGCTATAGTATCGTCGACACAGTGCAACACAGTGTCGACTTTTCATTGGTAACACTGTTACCAATGAAAAGTATTGAAGTTTGGTAACAGTGTTACCAATGAAAAGTATTGAAGTTACCAAGCTTTAGTTGGCATTAGGTTTTTGCTATAGTATCGTCGACACAGTGCAACACAGTGTCGACTTTTTTTTCTAAATGGAAAACGCTCTAAAATATGTAAAGAATAATATTATGAGGCTGAACACGGCAGTCTTAATCTTTCTTGGCTATTGTTATAGAAAAATATTACAAAAAAAACTGTCATGCCCCAATGTCAAAATGGGTCATGTTCATGTTTCCTAATTAATTCTCAAAGTTGCTTAATTTCTAGTAAAGCTACATACGATTCATAATATTATTTTATATTTCTGACCGATTATTGACCAACATGAGAAAGATTTCACTTTAGGAACACTCCTTTCATTTAGGTTGAAAATTGCATTTTACTTTTTGTAACTTGCGAAATCGTAAGCAATTTCATTCATCAAATGTTTACCACACTTCATTTGCAATCATGTGACGGTGTGCATTCAATAAATATAAGTAACCGTAGTACCTATTATTAAAATAATATACGCTAAATTGTGAATTTACGTGTTGTGTTTATGAATAAAATATCAACCGGACTATACAGCAATCAATATTTCCCTCTAGTCAGCTTATTATAAATTGAAGTGTTTTCTGTTTTGGCCACATTTACATTAACTGTACTTTAAAACGTGTAAGAATGTTGTGTCTGTGATTGTTATTTATTACATAAAACATTATTTGTGTCAATTTTTTTACGTAAGGAAAACAAGTATTTTGTTTGTCAGTGCAAAGGGAAAGCGTATCGGTAAGTTAATTAATCATAAAAAAATGTTACGAAATAAAATTACACGGGGCTCAGCTTTCCATTATATGTAATTGAGTTGCAAGCTGAAATTTTTGTCACGCAAAGTGTTAACTATTAAAAACACGTACACGAAATCTTTTTAGGCGGAAACGAATAGAACTCGAAAAAAAAATTATTGAAAATTAATATTTTTGTAGGTTATGAGTCAATTTTGACAGCAATTTTGATCAGTGCTGCCATTTTTTTATGCAAAAATAACATGTTTCTCGTTGTCTATGGTAAATATAAGTTTATTATGTTGGTACTATTGTCAAAATGTGACAATTTACCGCCATTAATGAGATCTGTCAGTCAGTGTTTGTGTTCGTCGAAGTTGAGATCTTTTTCGTACTCCTGTTGATATTAACGTCGTCTGACTACCATGGCATCCTCAAAGCGTTCGACCTCGAGTTCTGCTGGCCCTTCGCCTGAAGAGTCGAGTGTAGTGCGAGTTTTGAACTCTAATGAGCCGCTTGTGTGGTGATACTTCACACTAGGTTAGGTTAGGTTAGTGTTGTGACCTTAACGCGCGAGCCGAGCGAGCGAAGCGAGCGTGCCGCGGCAGCGGCCGGCGAAGCGCCAGAAAGAAAAATTCGTTAATAGAGACTTTTTCTACAAAAAAATCAAATATCATCTCTAGGCCCTGGAAGTACAGTTTTACCTTTAAAACCCCTCTAATTTTTTATAATTATCATTTCTGTAAAAAAACGGGGAGGGGGATTTACCCTTCCCTCTGAGGGGTCTTCCCTAATACCTATCCCCCTGAAATTCCACTACATTTAACAGATTTAATGAATTTTTAGGTTAAGTAAAAAAAAAAAAACTGCATTTCCGCCAAAAATCTTTTAT